AATACTAGGGGTGCACCGAATGGGAAATTCTTGGCCGAAACCGATACCGAAAATAGGAAACAGTTGGCCGAAAACCGAAAGCCGAAAGGCCCTTTCGGCTTTCGGTTTTCGGCCAACTGTTTCCTATTTTCGGTATCGGTTTCGGCCAAGAATTTCCCATTCGGTGCACCCCTAGTATTNTTGAGAAACACTGATATAAAGTATTGATATTACAATGTATACAGCGGTTTATTAGTTTAACATGGTCTTTTGTCCCCCTACTCTCTCAGTCCAGGACTGCACGTAAGGACACCACACCATCCTGTATGACAAACTGGCAGTCAATGGCAGTGTTTCCGGCACCTAGCTGGCCTCTCCGTTCCATAAGCGCAGGTGCTGGGCTTGCAGATTCCCCTCCGAGCTCGCAAACGCCTACATGTGCAGCCTGAGGTGGGGCAAGAATAATGACTGGCAGGTGTGATGTATACAGTCGTGTTAAGAGATGGGACGTGTAAAACACTCACTGGTGATGAGAGCTGGAGGAGATGGTTCATGGGCAGGACACAGAGATGTGACGGCTCCGGGATGTAAACACACCATTGATTGATGTGCTGCTTTTCGGGTCCTGGCTACAAGGTGCCCGCTAGCTTTCTGCTACCGTAAGACAAACATGATAATATTGCCACTTTGTGCGAACGTTTTCATTGGTGTTAATGAGAACATTTTACATCATGAACCTCCCTTTAGAAAATTATTATAGCTCATGCTGCTGCTTAGAACAACTTAATAACTACTTGCTAACAGTAGATGCTCGCACATGCATTTTGATACAGGTAAATATGGTAATATATTTCTGCACCGGGAGCTGGCGACCAGTTATGTTTATACTGATTTTAAGGGTTGTGTGTGTATGGTTTGTTATGTTATTATGAGATTTTACAGATGTCAGCGAATGTCACTGTTTGGGACAGTTCAAGTGGCTGGTTGGTGAGAGGCTAGTTTGATTGGTGGGCGTGGGATGGAGGGGAGGTTCGGAGTGGACTGGGATGCTACGAGGAGCTAGGTTGCATGAAGTAAACGAGTAACTGACTACGTCCTTGTTTGGCATGGTTACGCCCCACAGAACCTGTGTTCGTGTGACAAATACATGGGTGGAACATAGATTCTAAGTCTATTGAGTTCTGTAGCGGACGCGACAAATCAATACATTTCTTAACTGGGCAATGTTATCTTAACATATGCCGGTAACTTACACCAGGCTTAATACGTAATGTCATGTCAGACACGAATTAATATGTTTAGGTTAGCTCGGGAATATGCTAACCTTAAATTTTATTCGTGTCTGAAACATGGCATTTACGGTATGCTGCGGTGAAGGGTTACCTGGCTATATGTTCGATAACTTTGCCCAGTTAATGAGATGTATTGTTTTGTCGCGTCTCGCACAATCAATAGACTTTAGATTATTTGTTCACAATGTATTTTGTCACGACACAGTTGCTTTGGGGCCGGTAACCATGCCAACAAGGCGTTAGTAGTTATCGTATTATCATGCACACGTAGTCTCTCGTCATTCCAGTCTCATCAGGAACCTTCCTCATCCCGACTCCAACATCAGAACTATGGCTCTCTCACTCAACTCACGCCACTTGACTGTCTTCAAACGTGACATGTTGCGACTCTGTTAAATTTCATATAAACATAACAAACTACCACACCATTAAATCAGTATAACTAACCTGTCGCCAGCTCCCGGTGCAAATATTAATTACCATATGTTACCGTATTAAGATGCATGTGCGAGCAATTCTATGTTTAGCAGTGTTTATTAGTTGTCTAGGCTAGGCAAGCATGAGTATTAATATGTTTTCTAAAGGGAGGTTCATGATGTGAACAAATGTTCTCATACACGCAATGATAACGTTCGCAAAAACCTTTTAGTGAGCAATATTATTCAGTTTGTCTTTACAGGGTTAGCAGAAAGCTAGCGGGCCGTTGTTAGCCAGACGAAAGCCAGCATTTCACCTCAATGGTGTGTTTACATCCCGGGCCGTCACATCTTCCTGTGTCGTCATGGAACCTCTCCTCAGGCTCTCATCCTGAGTGTTTACACAGTTCCCATCTCTTAACCGACTGTATACTCACTGCCAGTCATTTTACTCTGCCCCTCGGCTTGCACATGTAGGCGTTTGCGAGGCTCGGAGGGGAGTTCTGCCAGGCCGCACCTGCTGTTATTGTGAACATAGAGCCCAGCTATGGGCCGAACACTGGCCATTGGCACGTGCACAGGTTTGTATCATAAAGGATGGTCGTGGATGTGCCTTATGTGCAGTCCATGGACTGGAGGAGGTAGGGGCAAAAGAACATGTTAATACTAACTCCACCGCATGTATACATTGTAATATCAATACTTTTATATCAGTGTTTCTCAAACTTTTTCATACCAAGGACCACTTAACCAATAAAAAAATACTCACGGACCACCTAACTCCCCAAATATCCAGAAACAATTACCACTCCAACATTATATAACAAATTACAGCCTAATAATGACAGCTTAACCTTCTCTGACTATATCGCCTCTTTCAGACATTAAATCAACGATACAAATACAACAGATTATATAAGCATTTCGTTCAAATGCGATTTAAAATGCTCAGGTTTTACACCTCTTATGTAATGTAGACTAAATTTATTATGGAGTTTATGTCCGAGCCAACAGACTCACAGATCCTTGGCTACTGAGAGGTATGCAAAATATACCGCATGTAGTACGACACAAACCTCTGCTTTGGATTTTCAAAACAACATGTGTGACGAAGGGGTTGCGCTGGGCTATATCATGCAATCAAAAGTGAAAGTTAAGCTAGCTCCATTGCAGAGATATTCCCGCGAGAGTGCGGAAAACTTAAATTCATTTATTTATTTCAAATGTGAAATGTTACCAATATACTCACGGACCACAAAGGGGGCGCTCATGGACCACCAGTGGTCCGCGGACCACACTTTGAGAAGCACTGCATTATAGTGCAATATGCACACTTTAACTTTTTTTTCTTTTTACTTTTAATGCATTTTGCATACTCCTACTTAATCTTTTTTTGTTTTTATTTTTTTACTCTTAATATTTTATATTCTAAAATAGAGCAACTGACTTTGAAATAAAATGTCCCCCAGTATAAACAAGGTACTCTGGTGTTAATTTTGTCAGCTATATAATATTATTAAATTATTTAATGAATCGTCATCTCAAATGTCATTATTAGCTTTTTTCGTCTATATTAAGTTAGTTTATATGTAGTAAAATGTAGCAATTGTCATTGAAATGCAATTTCCCCCAGGATAAATTAAGTGTTCTGATACTCAAGTTCATAAATGTGTAATAAAATACCCTGGCAAAGTAACTTAATTTAATATATAATGTAACAAGCAAAAACCAATATGTCAGGATCCCTTAATGACCTTCTCCGTGTCCTCGTAGGTCCTTACTGCCATCCTGTTGAACCCATATGAAGACGAGCCAACATTCCATCTGTCAGCTGTCCTGGGGAGTCAGAGAGGCTTTGGCTTCTTCCCAGGAGTTTCTTCACAGCTCATTTCCTTTCCTGAGCTTCCTTTCCTCTTCTATTTGGATCCCTAGACGTCTTCTCTGAATGGGATAGGATATTTGAAAGAAAGGAAGGAAGGAAGGACAGACCTTTTTTCTGTCATCATTCTTTTCCTGGGACTTTGAGCATCTTCTGCCCAGTCTTTTAGATCATATTTTTTTGTTTACCAAGCCAATTTTAGTTTTTCCTTCCTTGCCAAGAATTGATTTTTATAACGACGTAAGGCATAGAATATTTACCTCGCCCATAAGTCATAAGTTTTGTTGTTGTTTGTTTTGCGTTTTTTTGACCAAATGCAATTTATGTTTTAGTGAAAACACTTTTTTTTAAAGTTTTGAATTTTAAACATCCAATCACTCCTGTCTGTCTCCATTATTTGAAGCACAGTTCTATTTTTCTATACTAATAAACCTTTTTGAGGGTGTAAAAATGAACCGCCCTGCCCCCGTGGAGATCTCTTACGACTGCCTGAGATTCCTGATAACGCACAACCCCACCAACGCACAACTGGGAAGGTTTATAGAGGTAACATACATTTTTATAAGGAACCTATATCCTTTTATTCATTTTATTTTAGTTATGGACGAAGCAAGCATGACATGCTTTATGTTTTTATGTACAGGATCTGAAGAATTATGGAGTCAACACCCTGGTGAGAGTGTGTGCTGCTACATATGACAAGACTCCGGTGGAACAAGAAGGTATTCATGTCCTGGTGAGTGACGGATCAGATTCATTTTATTATAGTTTAAGTTGCTTCAATTGTAAATTATTAAACTATAGTTATCGTTTAAGTAAACAGATTATATATATTTTATAGCCAAAATATCTAGCCATGTTTGTTTCTCTCTAAGTCCTGTTGTCACCATTTTTAACTTTAACTTAAGTAAGTTATTGAATGCTCCTGACGGCTCATCGTGCTGCTGCTGTCTTCCTGATAGGGTGTGCACTGTAAAGGAAACAAAACGGCTACATTAAAAAAAGTCTAGTTTATAATATTTAATTTCCTATTTTTGGTCAATGAAAAAAATATAGAGATTTTTGTTAAGATTTTGATTTCAACATTTTAGTCCCGTTTCCTCTGCCAACCATATTGCATTTTGATATAGTCTCTGTTTGTGCTCTGCTGTTGCCATCTCATCATTCTTCCGTCTTAAATATAGTGAAAAAGTTTGTAAACCAACCTTTTTAGTCAGAGTTTTTGTTATCAAAGCGATAACTAGTGAACACTGCTGTAACATTCTGGAATCAGGAAGTGATTCCACTGTCTGTGTTCAATACAGAATCCTCCTGAAAGTGGACATTTGAAAACATGTTGCAAAAAATGTAAGAGATCAAGAGTGAGCTTGTAAATATTCACTCACAGCGCCGTGTACAAATGGGACTGGTCAAAAACCTTTGGTCCTTCAGAGCTCATTAACTTACATTTTCTCAACTCCCAGTTTTAGGTTCAGCCTACTTAAAAAAAATAATTTCATAGGCATATTGTAACAGACCGTTACGTTGCATAATAATCATCTCTTACACTATAATCCTCACCAACAAGCAAGAGGCAAAGTATCCATAGTAACGTTTTTCCTTTCATTTATTTTAATGTAGAAATAAAACACTGTTTCTTGGAACATTGAGTGCAGAGCACCAGATTGGATAAACAAACAAAACTAAATATCATCTTGTTCCCCCTCCAGGATTGGCCATTCGACGATGGTTCCGCCCCCCCGGACCAGCTGGTTGATGATTGGCTGAGCCTGCTTCAGACAAAGTTCAGGGACGAGCCTGGCAGCTGTGTGGCTGTGCACTGTGTGGCCGGGCTGGGACGGTGAGTACAACGGGACACGGGAAGTGAGATGTTATAGTTGTGAAATATTAACATCCTGCCACCATTAATTCATGAATCAGAATCACAACTGCTTATTAGTCCCAAAGCGGGGAAATGTACTGTGTTACAGCAAAAGTGGCATAGCAGGTCAAAAAAGGCATGCAATAATAGAGTATTCTCACTTATTAATATAGAACAGAGATAGACATTAGTAATAAAATACAAATAAAGAGAAATAAGTACACAAGCATGAGAATCAGCAATGTGACATTAGTACCATATTATTAAGGTGTTAAGGCATTATAAAAATGTATGTCCACCAGTTTCAGTCAGTTTTGTTTCATGTGAGTTTTTCCAAATATGCACTGTTGTTTTGACCAGGCATTTATTGTCAGTTCAATTCAATTCAGATGTATTTATATATATTTATATAGCCCAATATCACAAATCACATTTGTCTCAGAGGGCTTCACAAATCAACAAACATGAACGATAATGTAAAAACAACAAATATATCTGAGAATGTAGTAAAATGACAAGATGAATGTGAAAATAGCAATGAATGGGTACATACTGTAACACAATGACACAAATACTAGGGGTGCACCGAATGGGAAATTCTTGGCCGAAACCGATACCGAAAATAGGAAACAGTTGGCCGAAAACCGAAAGCCGAAAATG